TAAAGCCTCCAATGCCGGACTTAGGCCCGTATCGTCAGTCGTCCCTACAATTGTAGGGCGCGTTTATGGCCTCCTTGATTGTCATAGTCCTTTCTCTCCTTCAAAAATTTCTAGATTACACCTGTCCCGTGTCAGCGTCAGCGCTCTCCTATTGTGATGATATGTTTTCTTTTCAAATTGTAGGAAATTTCAGGCTGATAAAACATGATATAACTCAAAAGCAAGCACAATTTGACGCTAATAGATGTTTGTGACATAACCTCAAGATAGAGTTCTGACACGGAGAAGTAGAAAACTATGACAATCAAGGAGGCCATAAAGGCGCCCTACAATTGTAGGGACGTCTGACGATACGGGCCTTATGTACTGGTGCGAACTGAATAACCGTATCTAAGGCCCGTATCGTCAGTCGTCCCTACAATTGTAGGGTGCGTTTATGGCCTCCTTGATTGTCATAGTTTTCTGCTTCTCCGTGTCAGAACTCTATTTGGAGGTTATGTCACAAACATCTATTTGCATCAAATTGTGCTTGCTTTTGAGTTATATCATGTTTTAACAGCCTGAAATTTCCTGCAATTTAAAAAGAAAACATATCTTCACAATAGGAGAGCGCTGACGCTGACACGGGACACGTTTAATCTAGAAATTTTTGAAGGAGAGAAAGGAGGATGACAATCAAGGAGGCCATAAATGCGCCCTACAATTATTGTAGGGACGACTGACGATACGGGCCTTAGTAATATGAGGGAATTCATTCAGCCTCCTGAAAATATTATTGACCACGCCTTAGAATGATTTGTATTTGATAGTTTTATAATCCAAGCCCCAAAAAAGGGAACAAAAAATAAACATCATTCCTTGCTACGTTATATTGTTGCCCGCCGTCACTGATTACCAAACGCTACGACAGCGCGGTACACAAGCCCACAGAGAAACAGACAGGAAAAACTTCGCGATAAAGGTGTTGAAACTTTAAACTGCTACGTCATCCAGTACCTCAAAATATTACATACCGAATCAAAAAATAGAAATAGCATCTGCTTACCAAGGTTACGCCGTTACCAGAAAGCAAATGATGGAAAGCATCTGGGCAGATCAGGGACTGGAGAGTCAAGTAATATGAAACTCGATGATACCACCAACTGTTAAATAAATGTATAAGGCTAAAATGGGAAATTCTGAAGCACAATAGAATTCTCCAACCATTTTAGAAAACCTAACATTTTTAATTTATTTGAGCGTCGCAACACTTCCAACTTAAAATCTATGCAATGCGCCACTGCGCTTTCATAAAGAGCCTAAATTGAAACAAATGAATACACAATTATAATGAGAGCTCAAGTTAGGGCCTTTCGAAGAAAAATCGTGTATTAAAATAAAAAGAAAAAAAGAAGAAAAGAAAATTTCTTGTGTGCAGTCAACTCAAAATGTGATATTTGCAGGACCGAGAAACCCTCCTACTAGCTTTAATCCTCCAAACTTTTTTGATATCGTGCTTCTTAAATTAATTCCGGAAGACGTAGTCACACTAAAGATAGTGCATTTTACCAGATTTCTAACAAGCTGCAGATATTTTCAGTCGTTTTTTAGATGTAAATGTTCCTCCACGTTTTTGCTGGTACTTTTTCTCACGTTTTATATCCTGGAAGCGAAACCGAAAAAGAGTTTTACTTGCTCTAAACAGACATATGAAGCTGACATGGTCAAAAGATTCATGATTTTTTCTGTGACACTCCCAATAGCTGCAGCTGATTGAAGTGATAGTTTTCAATACTTTATTGTATGCTCACAAGGTCTTAAAGACATTATCTAAATCTAGGAGACATATTTTAAGAAGTTTGCTGTTAAAAGCATGTGACTTCAATGACTTGCCAATTTTCTCTTATAAAAACAGTTACACATACACGCACATATAAAATACAGGTAATGTTAAATGATAAGTACTCCACGCCATTGAAAGTGACCATAGGTGTTCCCCAGTGCTCCATTCTGCGTCCGTTAATGTTCATTATTTACACCTCTAATCTATACGTACACTTTAGTCTTCACTCCTGCAAAGAGTTCATTTCTATGCAGATTACTCGTATACACAAGTATACTTATCATTTCCTCCAGCTCAAGCATTGCTTGCTCTTGAGCTGATTAATAAGGGCCTTGACCGTCTCACTAAAGCTTCTTGTAACATATGTTTAGACTTGAATCCCACTAAATGTACAGTCATGTTATTTGGGCCGAAGAATTGGAGAGAACATTGTGAACCTCTGGTGAAAACAAATCTCGATCACCAGCGCGATAGCGCGTAATTTAGACTTATACCTTCATAAAAGCTTAAGATTTGAAGAGCAAGTGCTTTATAAAGGCGTACTGGCAATGTAAAGATGTTGTATATGATGATTTTATACTAACCAAAAAACTAAAACCATACTATGCAATTATCTTGTTCTGTCGCACTTTAAATTCTGTGATCACAAATGTTTAACTAAATTTATCGATAACATACAATGTGTACAAAATTCTTGTCTCATAGTTATTTTTAGTTTAAGGAAATATGATTCAGTGTCATCAAGGCTTATGTTGGTTGGCTGAACTTGAGGCAACGCAGGCTGCTGCATAGCCTCGTACAATATCATAACATCATTATACATAAGCTACCATTCTACATATTTACATGACAATATACACTCCCGTTATTTAGCTCATACCGTGATACCCGCAACAGAATGAAACTGACACCGCCTTTTCTTTGTATCACCTTATTCGCAAGATCTTTTTCGTATAATATGTGTAAACTTTATAATAATATCCCGCGAGAGTATACTTTTCTTCCTATTGATATGTTTAAAAAACGTATCCGATATTACATTGCAAGTAACTGCATGGTATGATTTCAGGGTCATTATGTATTTCTATAGTATCATCTCTCAAGTTAATTAGTCGTTAGTGTCCATAATTTGATTCTGCTTATACTTACATATTTTTATTTTTTGCCTCATTTATCTGCATGCTCATTATAATGTATACCCAAAACCAGGGGTTAAGTGGAAGAGCGGATGTGCCGAACTTCGCCCTTCCCACTATATGTTGATACGAAACTGGTTTCGTAACTTGGTTTAGTTTTTGTGTGGAAATCATCATTATTATTAAATACCTTGGAATTTTCTAGATAATAGACTTGCTGGAATGTACACATAGAATATGCCACTAAAGGATGTACAAATTTAATTACTTTGAACACTTCCTTTCCAAAAAAGAAATAACACTATCATAGTCCATATGGGATTATAGCAGCACATAAAACTCATTTAACCACGACAGAAACTATACAGAAACTAATTTCAGGTCATATATTACAATAAACTATTCTAGTGAACTGTTCTTTTCAGAACCGTAATTCTTAGTATACATAAGCTTTTTCTTAATACAATATTAATAGATCAACAAGAATAGATACATTATGGAATCTAGAAGCTACTACTATAATACAAGAAGCAAAAATACCGAAACTCTCACTCACACCCAAAAAGGACCTTATCTTAAGGTCGTTTATGTTCCAAGGTCCACCCTTATACAACCATACTCGTATGTCACAAGAAATAGCTCAATATAAAAATCACAAATTCAAAACAATAATAAAACATTGGATAGCAAATCTCTCAAATTATGAAATAGTAAGGTTTACTTATCCATAGTGAAAATAATAAATATACCAACATTTTTGCTGTTTTAGAAAACAATTATGTTTATTCTGGGCTGCCCCCTTGAGAATACATTTCAAAAGGGTTCAGAATTACACGGGGTGTTCCACAACTGAGCTGGAAATCAAAGTTGTTTCGATAGACTTAATTACCTATGCGTTTTATAGAGTTTTTCTTGAATATTAGAAACTTTATGTAAAAAATATGAAACTTCACCAAATATAATTAAGGTATTTAATTTTTAAATAGATTCCTCAAATTTCGTTGACTTGACTAGGTATTTAAATTTAGTAGTATTATGATTTCAAAATGTGAAAATAAAAAACTATTCAAGGAATGTTTTTTTTGAGAACTCCGTGTCGCGAATAACTGCTGTCATCGGTAAACTAGGTAGCAACTGTACTCACTGTACTGTCTATCAAACAAGTCAAGCTGCTGGTTGCCACACTTAGACAAGACATAATAATCATCTCAACAATTACTCGGCAAAACTCCGAAGTATGTATGAGCTGGATATTGGTGAAATAGGGTACGTACTGCCCAACTTGGAGGAACTGCATCTTAGAAACTACCAATCGAAAAACACTTGTTCTATGTGCTGCGATCTCTAAAAGACATAATTAAAAAAGATAGCCGAGAGCTGACCAGAGTTGACCCCCTGTATAAATCCGTCTAGAGGTAGGTTATCTACATTCTGTTTTTCTCTTTATATATTTAGCAAGCAAAAAACGCAAAAAACCGTTGAGATAAAAATGCATCTGGATTTTTATAGAAATAAGTCAGTTTAACGATAGTGTTTGAGCAAAAAGTATTAAAATAAAATTTTATACTGTAACTTTTAGTATGCCGCGAGCTGAAATTTCTGGTTTTGATAGAACACGAATAGTAGCCCTCTTCCAAGCTGGATTATCAGATCACCGAATAGCACTGGATTTGGGTATCCCAAGAGGTTCGGTTATTCGAACAATTCAAAGATTCCGAGAAACTGGCTCAGTTGAAAATCGGCCACGCAGTGGGCGTCCTCGAGTAACAGATGATAGGGAGAATCGTTACATTGCTCTATTTGCCCGAAGGAATAGATTTTCAACAAGTACAGCTATCAGATCGCATATTCAACATACCTTTCGAAGAGTTATTTCCACTTCTACCATCAGAAGAAGATTGCTAATGGCAAATTTGCGCCCTAGAAGACCTTTAAGGGTTCCACGTCTGACTCGTAGACAAATTGCTGCTCGTCTCCAGTGGACTAGAGAACATCAGGCGTGGCTTTTACCACAGTTGCGAAATGTGGTATTTACAGATGAGGTTAGGTTTGGACTGGTGAGTGATGACCGTAGAATAAGGGGTTGGAGAGAACCAGGACATCAACAGCGACGAAATTTGGTACGAGAAGTTGTCCCATATCAGGGCGGATTAATAATGTTTTGGGGAGGCATAATGTTTAACCACCGGAGTCCTTTGATTCCAGTGGCGGCCGGTGGCTGTGAGAAATGGGGGGCTATTGTAGGGAAGGGTGGCCTGCCGCAGTCACCGCCGGAGGCAAAGAATTTTTACGGTGCCACGCCCAAAAACTTCCATTTTGAGCCTTCAAATTCAAATATACATTTTTAGAGCTATAATTTTTTTTGCATTTTTTATGTCCTGATTTTGTGGATGGATCAGTTGGCAATCCTATACCTATATATTTTATGTACAGTCCTCTGTATAGGAACAAACATATTTTAGGTACGAGAACTTATCGCAAAAGAAAGCAGCATCTAATATGAAAGCAACAGAGCATCTATTATCAAAAGAACAACAGTACTCAAAAGTATAGTTTTTCACTTTCTTACAACACATGTAACTATAAATAACTGGAAAAGAGAACAGAAATACGGTATACCTAAATGTATTATTGTATTATAAACGACTAAGTATACCTACCTACAGCTAGAGCAAACATTGTGTTTCAACTGTCACACTTCACACTTCTATTTATTAAGAAATATTTTTTAATGTTTATATGTAAAGTCTAATCTTCTGTCTTTCTGTGAAATAAAATGTTCCATCACTTTTTCGTCGAAATTGCTGATATTATGTACCAGATTCTTATTAACAGACATCATTGCCAATGCATTCAGTCGTTCATTGCCCATCGAGTTTCTTAAAAACGATTTTATCCTCTTAAGGGTTGAGAAACAGCGCTCTGCTTCGGAAGTTGACATGGGAGTAGTTATAATTATTTGCAACAACTTAGTTACTTCGCTAAAAGTTTCCTCTAGGTTGTTATTAGTCAATAGGGACAGCAAATTCAAACCACCTGTAATATTTTTGAAGTCTTCCCTCATGTACATTACTTCTAATTCGGTTTTCAGTTTTTCTTTATTTACCATTGGATAATAAGTCACAACTGAATTCAGTATTTTTGCTGGAAAATATCTCGAATAGTTTGTGAAGTTTTGTGTATCTAATAAAGATGCAGCTTCTAGATGACCCCTGTAAGAAAGTCTCTCTTTTGTCTGTACAATTATTATATCGCAAACTTCTTTTGCAATAATACAATTTCTTTCTTCGGGTCCTACTTTTCTGCGTTTATTTCCATTGTCTCCATGCTCATTTTCAACAGTTTGCTGTATATCCTCTGTAGTGTCCCTAATCAATACAATGGCCTTCTCAAATACGTCAATATCTTTTAAAAGTTGTACACTGTCTTTATTCCTACTTTGAAACTGGTTAAACAAAATAGCTACGTGCGGTAGGGTTTTGTGAAAAAAAGTCAAAAAAAAGATGAAATCAGAATCTTCGAGTGCTCTTCTTAAACCGTATGCCTCCTTACTAGTAATTGTTTTATCACATTTATTCTCTAACTCCCGGAAACAATCAATAAGACTTTCACGGTTCTCAAAAACGGCACTGACTGTGCGAATGTTATAATTCCACCGTGTTGGCGCAACCTTTGGCATTTTGGTTTTAACTATTTTTTCCAATAAATCGCATCTGTGCGTGGAGTTGGAGAAGAAACTTGGAATTGCCGACAGGTTTGAAAAAAACACTTTTACTTTTGGATTTTGGCTGGCTGCTCTCTGCATAATTAAGTTCAGTTGGTGAGCGTAACAGTGTATAAAATGAGCGTTCTGATATTTTTGTTTGATTTTTGTTTGAACTCCACCACTGCTACCGCTCATTACGTTTGCACCATCATAAGTTTGCGCAATTAATTTGTGGGGTGAATCTTTTAATAATGGGCCTAGTTCTTCTTCGATACACTTTGCCAAACCTTCAGCTGTCTTGTCCGTAACGCTCAAAAAACGCCAAAATCTTTCTTGTATTTCACCTTCATGGAGATATCTAAATATCATTACCATTTGACAATGATGTGAAATATCTGTTGTTTCGTCGCACTGTATAGCTAAAAACTCTGCTGCATTAATTTGCTGTCGAATTTCTTGTTGGCAGACTTCCAACATACTATCTAGTATTTCATTTTGTACTGTTTTAGAAGTACCCTTAAACAGAGTCGCACTTTTTAAATGTTCCTTTAATATTGTATCCAGTTCGGACGTAAAATTAATCAACTCTCGAAAAATGCCACGATTTTCAGAGTCTTCACTTTCGTCGTGCCCTCTTAACGCTAATTCCAATTTACCGCAAAACTTTATACAGTTTATTATTCTTTTTAAAAGATATCTATTTTTGTCCACTTGCTCGTTGTGCTTAATAATATTTTGCCTGTAAGCGGAATCTAACTGAGCAGCGATACTAGCTGTTCCCAATAAAGCTAATTCTGTCGAACAAATCATGTGACGAGCCGAATTTTCATGCTTACTAATTTTCTGGTTTATATGCTTTAAATCTTTAAATCCAGTTCTTGTCCATGTCTTTTCCGCTGCATCTGAATAAAACAGTAAGCACGGAAAACAAAACAGGGCGTTTAATGTGCCACAACCGCATATCCATTTGTTTTTGTTATAGATATCTTTCTTAAAATGTCTCTTAAAACAACCAGCTTTCGTCGATTTATCAGCCTGAGTAAGGTTGATATTTGGAATCGGCCTTCCAAGGGATTTTATTATTATTTTTTCAGCAAGCGGAAGCCGAGAAAATTCACCTTTTAACAAATTTTGTACTTCATTTGCCATTTTAAACTTTTTGAACGCCCGAACGACGGCACGGGGACGCGACGAAGCGATTTCGTACACACGTAAATCGGGACTGGCTAAAAATTATTTCGCCAACTCGCGTGTTAAAATCCCGTATAAAACTCGTAAGCGCGTGGGAGGTATGACGTAGCGAGCCACTCAATCAGGTCGGCGATCGCGGCAAAAATTATTCTAGCCTCGAATCGATAGGGAATCTAGCTCACGACTTCGGGGTATTGGGATCGGATAATATATATATATATATATATATATATATATATATATTGCGTGTTGCGTAACTGGCTACTATTAAAATTCAGGTTTTGATTGAATTTTCGTATATATCTGGAAATTATTTAATCACAAAATCATATTTTAAATTTTTTGTTAATTCGCATTTTGTCTTGGGGGGCTGTAGCCTTTTCGCCCCTATGGACGGGCCGCCACTGTTTGATTCAGATCCAGGGGACAATGACTGCAGAAATTTATGAAGAAAATGTCATACAGCCCATTATTCAACCTTTGCGAAATGAATTCGGTAACAACTTCATTTTTATGGATGATAATGCACGGCCACATAGAGCGAGCAGGGTCCAGCGGGCTCTAGAAAGGGGCCAAATAGTGAGATTGCCGTAGCCTGCGAACAGCCCAGACATGAACCCCATTGAAAACATTTGGGACACTATAGCTCGAGCCGTAGGGAACAGAATAGATCCACCTACAACCCTAAGTGAGCTGGCTGCAGCAGTAACTGAAGAGTGGAATAATTTACCCCAAGGAAACATTAACCACCAACATTAGGAATGCCAAGGCGTGTTAGCGCACTGCTAAGATCGAGAGGACACCGAACTGGTTATGAATTATGTTTTATTTTCCTTTAGAATAATTGTTTTTCTTTAATTTTGATTTTTTAAAATAACATTTTTGGTACCTTACTTGTTCAACTTTCTTTTTCTTTTCATATTAATGAAATTAATTATTTAACGTTTTGTTAAATAAATATAGTACAAATATTCCCAATTTAAAATATATCGAAGATTGAAATTAGAAGGCTATAGTTTCCCAGTACGCCAGGGGGTCCAACACTTTTGATGATGTGTGTAGTTGAAACTGTTCAGTAAAAAACCTTCTAAACAGCACATAATATTCACGAATTAACTGATTGCTTGGGCAATATTAGGAAATCGAACCTTCTTCAATGCATTGTGGCTGGTTTCCGAAAGGATATCCGCCAGCAGTTCGCTTTTCACGCTGCGTCGCGGCGCCGGTCCTTGGCGTCGCCGTTTCTGGCGCCGCGCGCGACGCATGCCTTCCTGCTGCCGGCAATGGTGATGGTCTGGTACTCTGGTGGTCCAGTGCGCGCCCGCGAGCCGATCAAGTAACATGTTAGGTTGCAGGCTAAGTCGCCGTAGACGACGACCGAAGACGACGCTTCCGCGCCGACGACACGCCGCAGCTAAGGCAGCCGCTGCACTAGCGTCGCGTCATGCCGCCACGGACACCGCAGCCGCGTCCCACAACGCGGCACCACGCCACTAACTTCACGCGCGACATTTAACGGCAAATTGTATAAAGTTTTCGTTTTTGATGTTTTATTCTCGCTTTCGACAAGATTCGGGACAAAACGGGTACTGTATATAGTGTGATTAGGGACCAATATTCGATATCATAGTTACTGTTGTGTTGTAGTGTAATTCATATGAAGTTTTAAAGTTCTGTGTCAACGTACTCCTATATAAGTGTTAAGCTACTTCTGTCAACAGTGGGACTACTGCTGCAAGCCCTGTTGAATCTTAGGATACAAATAGGTAACGTTCAAGCTACCCAATTATAACATATTGTTTGTTATTTACAACATAACGTCATCCATGCAGATATGGAACAAAGTGGAGAAGTCACGGGAAAGTAAGATGATAAAACGTTATTTCAGAGCCCAGAAAATATAGAGAAAACCAAAGATATTCTTGATGTTTTTATTTTTAGTATCCCTGGTTTACCTATCATTTGAATCAAAGTACTTAAGCCACTAAAAGAAACCTTTACCTCACTCTATTATTATCTACAATATCTATATTCAATGTTATACTCGTGCAAAGATGCAAAGATATATTCCACATACATCTAGTTTTCTAACGTTCCGGCTATAAATGTTTAGCTACAATACATCTAAACATGACTCGGACCAATAACTTAGGAAGTCGCGCAGCTCGGTGATATTTGGATATATTCTGATATAACGGGAAAATGCGGCAAAACATCCTTGATACCATAGTATCCTTGGAAGGCACTCTCAGAATGTTTCATTGAAGTCCAAAATTTATTCTACTGGATCCGACTGTTGCACCGGACAATTCAGTACAAATTAAAGATGCATTCATGTTGCAGACTAAAATAATTTGAGGAAATGTGACCGTATAAGTGGTTCCTTGATCGATTTGGGACGGTTGAAGGTGAGTGAGTTATATAAGTTACACCAATTATTTCTATTCCATCATTTTAAAAGAACAGGCTTGTCCCTCGATATTATTTTCACTCAAGAGATATACGGTTTACTGAAACACTCACAATGCTTCTTCACAAAACCTCATGTTTTCATAAGTGCTCCACATACAACGCGGTTACACTTTATCATGAAGTACCTGAGGCACTATGAGCACTAAATTACAATATATTTAAAGAGCGAATAGAACATTTTTTTTAAAGTACTCACCAGCATAGTTTAATCCCTCACTTGTCAAAATCTTTCCCTTTTGGTGTAAATTCGTATGTATAATTACATTTTCATTATCTACTGTGACTACAAAATACATTATTTTTACATGTTTGTAATTGTTGTTGCATTTTTTGTACTTTTCAAAGGTTAACTTGCAGAATAGCCTCAACCTGAACTTCGCCCTCAGTGAAAGACGTATATTACTGTTATTAAAAGAAAAATGGGACTTTCGTGAACCTTCACCGTGAATATCGATTATACTATAATACAAATACTTCTTGACCATTCGCATCTTGATTGAACCGTGTGAGAGAAGCTTTTCCAAACCTAAACGAATTAAAAATTCTTCTTCTTTATCTATGATATAAAATGAATCAAGAGTAATTTTTGCTATCAATTGAATAAAAACTACGATGTTTGTGGAGGGTGCGGTGAATTTTCAAACCTTCTTCCCATTACGTTCCATACATGTTGATGGGGGAAAGGTCTGCAGAACGAGGAGGCAACTGAACTGTGCGACATGAGGTCGTGTACTGTCCTGCTGCAAAAGTGGATTTTGCAGTGAAACCAGCACAGAAAAATCACTGAATATTGTAGTAGGGGAGCCCACGATGCTAAATTGAGATTTACTCGAGCGTCATAGAGACAGACCTATTGGGTTGCGAAGCTTAGATGTTAAAAAGAAAAAAATGTCTTATATCGGTGAGGGAAGTGGCTATGTGTATATGTTAATCTGATTGTTTCTCAAACGTGAGGGTTAAAAATGAAAAAAAAATTCTATCGCTCGCGTCACATTTTCTAAGGGGGTGTTAAGTGAACCTAAAAAAGCTCTTATATGTATAATAATCTGACGATTTGGATGTGACGCAAACTCACGGCCATTATTAGAATGAGCAAAAAAAAATCGTCATTTTGAAATAGTCAAACGCGTCAGATTAAGATATATGTATATGGTTCATATTTATGTCCTAGATGTGCTGTCTCATAATCTGACGATTATCTGGAGGGATTCGCTTAATCTGACAATCGAATTTTTTTTATTTTTTCAAACCATTGAACTAAATTAATCGAAAAGCTCAAAAAATTGCATGCAAATAAAAAAGTGTATGTTTTTAAAGTAGAATACTTGTATTTATAAGAAAATAATTATAAAAAACTATATATATTTTTTTTAATTATCACCTTCATCGGTAAAATCATCTTCCCCCTCTGGCTCGATTTCATCCTCAGATTGGGTATTTGGAACAAGAAGTCACCAACATATTTTTTTATGAATAACGTGTTTTTTAATTATTGGAGAAAAAATATACCTAATTCTGGAGTATCCTCGAGAATATCCGATGTTATGACTACATCCTCATACGCTTTCGGCAATTGATCACCTGTAAACCAGATCACTTCGAACTTTCCGTCGACTTCTTTCCATCCATAGTCCGTTGGTAAAAGATCAACAATTTTTGCATTATGGGCATTACTCCACAAGCATGTAATGAATCTTGTGCGTGACACCTGTTGAAGTAACTCCGATTGACACGGTGGCAAGTTGCACGCATCGTAATTCCGGATACTCAAGGAGAATGGTTGTGATTTGTCTTTTACCTTGTACGTCTTGTTGAAGAAGACAATCCTGGCTTGATCGACATCGTCTAACTTTTTCAGCCCATACAAATGGCAAGTAAAAGACTGCATGATGCTGAAGGGATCCTGCACATTATGCTCCTTTGATCCCAAATCCAGAAATGAATTTTGGAAAATTTCTGAATATAGGCATCACGTAGCTGCACGTATTAATTTTTATCCATGAATTTCTGTTACTTCGGCTTGTGGAAATCATCAGATTATATATTTTTCGTAATCCTTGAACTATTCGCGTAAGAATAAAAAAAAATTGCCACGCTCTAGAATGTCTGGATGACGTTTTTTTTACAACTTTGTAGCCCACCCCCTTTTTTTACGTCACTCCCAAATTGTCAGATTAGTGAAATATACACGTTTCAGCATGTAACAAACTTACCCTATCTTAATCTGACGCGCTCGAGAATTTCAGGTGATCAATTTTTTTTTACTAATCTGATCCTTTATCCTTGACAAGCAAGCTTATATATAAGGCTCATATGTGGTGGGAGTACTTAACAGGGTACAAGGTATCCCCCTGTATATAAATCTGCCGCGCTTTAGTAACTCCTACAATCCCCTCTTGGGCTCCCCTACTATTAAGTAAACATGTTGTTCCGGTCGTGATATGACAAAAAAGCCTTTACAACAAAGATGCGGCTAGGAATGCCTTCAACATTTTATCGGTGTATACTTCCATGATAGCAAATATGTTTACAAGTCTTTATGAAAATTTGATAAATAATTCTTGTTGTTGCATTTTATGTCACTTAGTAGTAGTAGTTCATTTGAAAACTTCCTACCACGGAGTTATCGATGACCACTGGTTAAAAGAACAAACGCCGAGACACGTCAAAAGATTTGTTAAGGGAGACAACTTTCTATCCAAAAACTACTTCACCCTCTGCCACCAGGGTCATCCGCTATGAAATTCCAAATAACAAGGGGTATCGAGTAACAGCTTGTTTAGAAGGTCTTTCGAAGTCCTTTGTTTTGACGTTCGATTTTTTAAAATCGGTTGATTCGTTTTCAAGGAAATTAGAAAAATCTTTATTTATCTAAATTTGTCCAGATGGAAAACCAAAACACACATCACTTTCTATTTCAATGAGTGTTAAAAATGTTGCCCGTTATTGGCCAAAAACGATATAGCCGATGTTCAAATGCCTGACGGACATTTTCGAAATCATGTTGTTGGATATCATGGCAGCTTTGGATGATCCAGTGACGAAGTTCATCCAAACTTTCAGGCTGGAGATTAAACACAATAGATTTCAAATAGCTCCAT